AGTGCTAAAACCAATCAAAATCATCTCTATTTCTGTAATATGTCTTCCATTCTATCAAATGAGACCAAGAAATCGCAAATACAACTATAAAAAACATACGAAAAAACACTGCAAAGTTGCTGTTTTAATCGAAAAATCATGATTTCATTTTTTTTCTCTCATTATACACAGTGTGCTGCAGGATCTGTTTTATGTGGTGCACACATACCACATAGATGTATTCTCTCATATCTAGGCCCAAATGTACCACTCACAGTTTATCAGAGTGAGCTGAGCTCATGGCGTAGATCTACGGTTTGGACCCTGAACGTAAAGCCGTAGATCTACGGGACGGACCCTGAAAGGGTTAATCTCACTCCAAAACTTTTTCTTATTTTCAACAAAATTTGTTGATAACATCTCACCCACTCTCTCATTTGCTCTCTTTTTACATTGCTTCACCACTCTCTTAACACCTCTCTTTTTCTCCATATACTCTTCCCTCCTTGCATCACTTCTACTTTGTAAAAACTTCTCATATGCTAACTTTTTCTCCCTTACTACTCTCTTTACATCATCATTCCACCAATCGCTCCTCTTCCCTCCCGCACCTACTTTCCTGTAACCACAAACTTCTGCTGAACACTAACATTACATTTTTAAACCTACCCCATACCTCTTCGACCCCATTGCCTATGCTCTCATTAGCCCATCTATCCTCCAATAGCTGTTTATATCTTACCCTAACTGCCTCCTCTTTTAGTTTATAAACCTTCACCTCTCTCTTCCCTGATGCTTCTATTCTCCTTGTATCCCATCTACCTTTTACTCTCAGTGTAGCTACAACTAGAAAGTGATCTGATATATCTGTGGCCCCTCTATAAACATGTACATCCTGAAGTCTACTCAACAGTCTTTTATCTACCAATACATAATCCAACAAACTACTGTCATTTCGCCCTACATCATATCTTGTATACTTATTTATCCTCTTTTTCTTAAAATATGTATTACCTATAACTAAACCCCTTTCTATACAAAGTTCAATCAAAGGGCTCCCATTATCATTATTATAATATTGTTTACCACTTTTGTTTATTACAATAAACAAGCACATATCTTGTATAATACTAATGTTCTATCATATATTTACATATGTACAATCACTGGACATGTTTTTAGAACTGCTGCGGCTTGTGGAACCTTTGAAACAAGGCACCATGCAAGAGGTACCTTTACATTTCCTACACAAACCGTTTTTCTTTGCATTTTGTTGCCTTTTTTTTTTTGTGCACAGACAACACTCTCTTCGAAAATTTTTTTCTTAGTTTCAGGAAACTGTATTTGAAGTGATCACCTTCCCCCTCAAACGCTTGGGTATAACCTGAGGAGTTCGAGGACGGTTTTGTATAGCAGGTATTGTTACCTGGTACTTCATTATGAGTTGTCTGACAACAGACAAACAAAATTCACCATACGGTGGTCTGTTGCCAGTTTTCACTTGGTACATATTATATGCATTGAGCATTGAAATGTCCACTTGTAACTCTTACAAACACAATCAACAAAGCCAATCTGCATGTCACATTTGTCAACCAAACTCATGTTTTGTGTATAATCAGTCACTGTCACTGGTTTTCGAATACGTTCATTAGTCACTATCAACTCTGCCACTGTCTTGCATTTCGTTAGGGTGAATGGTTGTCAGCAATGTGACGTCTCGTTCATCATGCCACCGTAATGCCATGATGTCATTGGCAGTAAACACCTGCATCTCATCACCACGAGTGACAGTGTTGAACCTGGGCATATGTTTACGATTAGAACACACTGTGCCACACACATCTGTCATGTTCACTCGCAAGAAATCACTGAGTAAAGGGCTTGTGTACCAGTTATCAGTACATAATGTATGCCCCTTACCAAGATAAGGTGCCATCATGCTTCTCACTATGTCACCTGAGATACCCAATAACATCCTGTTATCTTTCAATGTTTTACTTCCTGTGTATACAACAATATCTAATACCAGACCACTGTCACAGTCCCAGAGTACAAACAGTTTTCTCTTGCTCAGTATATACTGTTTGAACGAAAGTCTACTTTTGAACAAAATCAAAGACTCATCAAGTACAAGATTCTTGGATGGATAAAAGTACATGTTGAACTTTTGTTTCAAATACATAAAAACATTTCTAATCTTGTATAACCTGTCACTTTTGTCAGGCCTGGTTTTGTCAGAGAAGTGCAACATACGTAACAGTAAGATAAACCTGTTCACTGGGATGATTTCACTGAAGGCCGGGGTAGAAATTAGTGGATCTGTGGACCAGTATGATTTTATATTATGCTTATAGACATGAGGCATAAGCATTATTGTTGCAAAAAGCAAATACATTTCTGCAACCAGTGTAGTCTTGACTGTGGTGATATCGTATTTGCCATGGTGTACTCAAAATACTGGTTACTTTCCCTGACAACAGTTTTCATGAAGGGCTGGTCAAAGAATAGTTCAAAGAATTCCAGTTCATTTGCAGTGTTTCCAAGGGGACAAGTAGGTAGAATTCCACTTTGAGAGTCATCAAACTGGTGGGGCTTGGGAACAAAATTGGGATTTTGCTGCCAATCCCACATACGGTTTGCTGGTGGATACTGGACATCATAAGCTGGTTGTGCTGGTAGTTGTGGTTGTGGTGGGCTGGTGGCTGATGCTCCGCTTTGCCCTTGAACTGAGGAGTCAGCAGTGTGGGTCCCAGCCTGGGCTGGCGAGTCATGCATGGCTGTGGCACTACCACCACCTACTGATGCCTGTGGTCTATCCATACCAAGTGTAGCCACATCATCCTCACTTTCACTGTCTATTCCTGGTGTAGGGCCATGGGATGTACTTCGGGATGTAGTCCGTCCCCTGGGCACTGCATAGGGAACACTACCCAAGCACATGCGGCAGTGTATGTACTGACGCTTCACTGGTGAATATGTTACCTCACTATCACTGCTCAAATGATCGTCAAGAACAATAAAATCACAATCCACGTCACTATCATCATCATTACTGAAGTCAGAGGCCTGGCCACGTGAAAATAATAGTTTTCTCTTGCGATGAGGTACAAATGAACATGACTGAGGCATGCCCACACCAGAGGTAGAAGGTTGAGGATCATCAGGGTTTTCTGCACTATTATCGGCATCCTGGTCATTCCTTTTGGTCACTAACTGATCAAAGCCATAGAATTCGTCTTCATTTCCACTTCCATCAAAGTCAGAACTATCAGATAGGAAGAGGAGAGTCCCAATTTTCCTTGGAGTGAGAGATGCCTTGTGACGAGGCATGGTGAACAAGGTAACTGAGCCAGCGTTCCCACACACACCACGCAGACCCGTTCTCTCACATGTAGGCCTACCAGCCTTTTCGTGCTAAATTTGACGCCGCTAGAATTTTGGCGTAGATCTATGGTTTGGACCCTGAACGTAAAGCCATAGATCTACAGCACGGACCCTGAAAGGGTTAATGGCTGATGCATCTTACAAACAGGACAGTACTATAAAGCTAAATAAATGACACTAATGCTTACTGGCTTGCTTTTGTATCTACTTGATTCCATAAACTGAAAGGAAATTTACTGGGCTATTAAATATCTGTCGTGTGGGTACTTACGGAGATACTGGAGTAAGGAATACACTCGTTGGATGGTTTAGGAGTTGTATATTATGAAAGTCGAAGGGGAAAAGCCCAGGCCTGCTTGTCGAGTCTATGCCTAGGGTGAAAGTGAGGAGGCGGCTTGCGGCCAACTGCTCACATGAGTGACTCATGATGTCATGGCTAGCCAGGAAGCCTATCTACAACATAGTTGGGATTAACTACGTATAATACACAAGTAATACAAGTAATCAGCGACACACTACTGACAGCTCAGCCACATTAATGTATGGTGTCCTGACATACAGCTACTAATACAAACTATAGACTGCAGGCATTAAGGCTCTGGGCCGATTCTATATAATATCAAATACACAACAGTAAAACATAAGAATTAAAATCTGGAATTCATTACCTGTGAATATAAAAGAAACACTGTCTGTTTGTAAATTCAAGTCTCTTCTCAAAAATCACTTACATACCCACAACTAAATAAATACTGAATAATTGTATCTCATATATGTATCTCATTATTGTATCTCATAAATGTCAACCTGTGACCCAATCAAACTTTGTTACTTTTTAACTTCATTACCTAACAGAATACTCCATTCTACTGATTACACAGCAATGCAGTAAATGACCATATGACCTGTCTTTGTAATACTCATTTGTACTAAATTGTTATCTGTTTTACAATAATTTTTGCACCACTGAATATATCATTGCTTAGTTAATTTTAAGCCTGCCCATAATGCTCTGCATACAATGGGCTTTGGCATGCTGCACTTTAAAAATTGTATTCCTTGTACTTCTCTGTATCATGTTCAAATTAAATAAATAAATAAATAAATAAATAAGAACTAATCATAATAATTGTAACAGACTGTAATGGATGTTACTGTAATACATTACAAATTATGGTAAGTGATAGAATCAATGGTGGGATAGTACAATCTGTATTCATGTGATCTATGGATTCTGAGGAAGTAAATTTACAAAAGAAGAAAGCGGTTAACAGAAAAGGCAGACTCGGCGCACACAAATCTTTTACTGTTAAATCTCAGAATTCAGAGAGAACGTGAACACAAAAAAAAATTTTGAACATTAATAAGTAGGTGTGGTAACACAGTAGGAGGACTCTCTTAAATTAGCTTAGCTATCTATACAACTTATTAATATTTAACCCCAACTCTGCTAGGGTGAGAATGAGAAAGAGGCCTGGGGCCAACCACTCACATGAGTGTGACTCGTGATGTCACGGCTAGCCAGGGAGCCTATAACATAGCTGAGATTAACTACGTATACTACACAAGCAATACAAGTAATCAGTGACACACTACTGACACATCTAGTTATCTGAAGGAACACATCAACTCACCACAATCAGAACTGAAACAATAGAGTTTAACAGTGCCTCCACCTCAGCTTCTGTGGCCTCTGAGGAAAAGGCTGTGTCACACACTCCAATGATTTTGTGCAAATCGTCTTCAAGACCCTTGGAGCTCCGCTCCTTTGAAATCTCTGCACCCACCTCATTGAGGTATGCACGGAGCTCTTCCACCTGTAATTATAAAATAAAATAATGTAAAATCGGATAAAAAAACAAGAGGGCAACACAGTGTATCAGAATCTTAATTTTATTTACAATGGCCACAAAAAAATCTATACATTTCCAATGCAAAAAGAAATCTATACACTAGATTTTGGTGTATACATTTCACTTGAATTTCCGCCATAAGAAAAGTGGGCAGAGCTTGTGATGGCTTAGTGTACTGGAGCCCGTCTTGCACCAACGTTCTCCACCACCCTATGTTTCATGCTCTTCCAGAGCTCGATGAGGAAGATTGCTACATTGATATTCATTCCCCATTTTTTTCACTCGACCACGAGCTTCGCCACACTATATCTCTGCTCCAAGTGGTCAGAAAGGGTCGAACAAAACTTTCAATTGTAGAGAAGACTTGTGCACTCACCCTATTAGAGCAAGGCATGTCTGTTATATCCGTAGCCACAGACCTGAAGGTGACCAGGATGGCAATTTACAACCTCAAGAAAGCAACTGCCTCACTCCCAACTGGTACTGTACCACCTAGGAAGGTGGGGTCTGTGGCCCCCAAAAAGACTTCTCTTCACACAGACAAGAACCTGAAGAGGAAAGCGTTATCAGATCCTGCCATAACAGCTGCAGACCTCAAGAAAAGGCATCCTGCACTTCTGAAAGACGTTGTAGTGCGAACCATTCAGCACTGACTGCAAAAGGACCTGAAAATGCCTGCTTGATGTGCCACCAAGAAGCCCATGCTAATTGAAGCCATGAAGAAGAAACGGCTTCAGTTCTGCAAGAAGTACAAGGATTGGACCTCAGACCAGTGGCAGAAGGTAATGTTCAGCAACAAGAGCACCTTCAGGCTCGTCAGGAGCGGCTCTAAGATCGTCCATCATCCCAGTGGTGTGTCCCGTTACGACCGCAGTATGCCGTGAAGACAGTGAAGCACGCTGACAGTGTTATGGTGTGGGGTGCTTTTAGTGGTTATAAGGGCAGAGGTGGACTATACTTTCTTTCTAGGAACATTACAATGAAGGGAAGTAATTATATCGAGGTGTTAAGGGACCACATGCTGACATTTTGGAGCATTCACGAGTGTGATTTTTTTTAATCATGATGATGCCCCTGCCCATAAGTCAAAAGGAGTGAAAGTTCCTTGTGGACAATATCATCAGTGTTTTGGAGTGGCCAGGCAATTCCCCTGGCCTAAATTCTATCGAGAATGACTGGCATGTGATGAAAAATGAGATTGCAAAAGCTCAACCCACCAACATCACAGACCTGAAGGAGGCACTGAAGCAGCTTTCGGTCAACATGGACGCCTCCCTCTTCTCCACTTCAATGCCCAGGCAACTTCAGATTGTAATAAAGAACATTGGTAACATGACCAAGTACTAGTCAGATGCTAAACAGTGAAAATAAAATACATGTGCATAAATTGAGCTGCATTTTCTCGTTTTACTGTCCAAAAAATGTTAATGTGTAGTTTTTTTTTTTTGCGGCCACTGTATATAAAAACTACCCTATATATCTGAGTGACATCAATTAGTGATATAAACAAAACTATAAATTGTTTTTGAAAAGCCTATTCTGTACCACACATATACATTAAAATACAGTGGAACCTTGGTATACGACTAGCTCCTTACTCGAACATAGCTCAGCACTTGACCAAACAAATATGACCTACCAGAACTTCGCTGTAAACTATTTTGTGTTTCTTCGCATTTTTTGGTGTATTTTTGTATTATTTGTACATATAAATAAGTCACCATGGGGCCTACGTTAATTAGTGATAACAGCCAACCAAACAGAAAACTGGTTGGGAAGAACTTGGTTGATACTCAAACGGATCAGCACTCTAACAGCCTTCTGGAATGAATTAACGTCACATACCGAGGTTCCACTGTACAGTGGACCCCTGAGTTTCGTGATTAATCTGTTCAAGAGAGCCTGCCGATGGCCGAAATTCACGAAACTTGAAACCATTTTTCCCATAAGAAATAATGGAAATAAAATTAATCCGTTCCAGACACCCAAAAATATTAAAATAAAATATTTTTTTCAAATTAAATAAAGATTTACATAATGAAAACAATCAGAAATCAAGTACATGCTTTTAAAAAAATAATAACATTACACTTACCTTTACTGAAGACTTCTGGGTGGATGGAAGACGGGAGGAGGGGATAGGAGGAAGGTGTACACTATTGTTTGGAAGGAGAATCTCCTTCCATTAGGACTTTAGGTAGCAAGTCCTTATCTGGGGTTACTTCCCTTCTTTTAATGCCACTGGGAACAACTAGAAAGTCACTGGACCCCTGTCGCACAAAATATCTGTCCAGAGAGGTCTTTTTCTGGCGTTTCTTTAAGATTTCCCTGAAGTGGGACACAACACTGTCATTGTACATGTTGCAGATATGGCTTGTTTCAGCTTGGTCAGGGTGATACCTTTCAACAAAACTTTGCAACTCATTCCACATTGCACAAATCTCCTTAATCTTTGAAGAAGGCACCTCATCCACTCCCTCTTCCTCCTCCTCTGAAGCAAGTTCCTCGGCTGTGGTCTGATGCTGTTCCAGCTGAAGCTCTTGCAGTTCGTCAGTGGTTTGCTCTTCCCTGTGGTCCTCCATCAACTCTTCCACATCCCCGTCAAAATCCCTCTGGATCGTGTTCCTCACTTTATTTACCAAAGGGCTTGCACTAGCTTTCCTTGGGTCCATGATGACTTATTTAGCAGTTGCAAGCACAAAAAAATGGATTATTATGAAATATACATGTATTGCATGAACCCGCGGGGTGATGGTCACGTGTTGGTAAACAATGGCACACTGAGTGTGAATGGCGTGGGAGACAGGCTTGGTGTGTGCAGTGACGGGCGGACGGGTACTGGACAGTCGCTGAAACATGAGTCTTTTCACGAAACTCGAGGCCAAATTTTTCCAAAAAAAAAAAAAAAAAAAAAAAAAAAAAAAAAAAACTCGCTGAAGGTCGAATTTCACGAAAGTTGAGGCTGCCGAAACTCGGGGGTCCACTGTATATATAAATATGGGTAATATCTATTTTTTTTTTTTTACTTCTTCACCTAGTTATAAAGATACAGCATTTTATAAAATTTTGTGCACTTTCAGAATATTGAATGATATGGAATTAGTTTAAAAAAATAAAAAGGCATTTGCAGTTTTTCTTCTTCACGCAATATTAAAGGAATGCCCATTAAAATAATAATGTTGATAATGTTTTTTTAATAGTAACAGTAATTAATTAGTAGTAGTAGTAGTCATAATACACATGTATTAGTACTATAGCAGTCATAATACATGTAGTAGTACTAGTCATAATACATGTAGTAGTACTATAGTAGTCATAATACATGTAGTAGTACTATAGTAGTCATAATACATGTAGTAGTACTATAGTAGTCATAATACATGTAGTAGTACTATAGTAGTCATAATACATGTAGTAGTACTATAGTAGTCATAATACATGTAGTAGTACTATAGTAGTCATAATACATGTAGTAGTACTATAGTAGTCATAATACATGTAATAGTACTATAGTAGTCATAATACATGTAGTAGTACTATAGTAGTCATAATACATGTAGTAGTACTATAGTAGTCATAATACATATAGTAGTACTATAGTAGTCATAATACATGTAGTAGTACTATAGTAGTCATAATACATGTAGTAGTACTATAGTAGTCATAATACATGTAGTAGTACTATAGTAGTCATAATACATGTAGTAGTACTATAGTAGTCATAATACATGTAGTAGTACTATAGTAGTCATAATACATGTATTAGTACTATAGTAGTCATAATACATGTATTAGTACTATAGTAGTCATAATACATGTATTAGTACTATAGTAGTCATAATACATGTATTAGTACTATAGTCATAATACTTGTAGTAGTACTAGTAGTAATCATAATAGTACAGTGGAACCTCTACTTGCGAGTGTGTCCACCTGCGAGTTTTTCCAAATACGAGCAGTCGATGGGTCGATTTTTTGCTTACATACGCGAGCAAAATTTCCACAAGCGAGCAGACCTCAAGGCATATTCCTTGACACTGATGAGGGGCTCTTGCTCTTGATCTCGGGAATTGTATATCATTTGTTTGTTGGACTATCTTACTGAAACTTGGGCAATGTATGATGGAAAGATGCTTCTTAATGTACATCAAAAATGAAAGAAATCTAAGCATAAATAATGGAGTTCACTTCTCAGCAATTAGCCACTCCTTAGTGGTAATTTCGAATGGTTTTTATGGTTGTATTCTCGTTTTTTTTGGTCTCATTTGATAGAATGGAAGATAAATTACAGAAAGAGATATGATTTTGATTGCTTTCACAACGAAAAGTACCTCGAAATAGAGCTCAACCTAGGAGAAATGGTCCATTGCTGGGCTGTTTCAGTGTAAACAAATGATGTCACAGTAAATCTTATATTTTTTGTGTTAATAAAAATTACAAATTATTTATATAACAATAATAATAATAATAATAATAATAATAATAATGAAAGAAATCTAAGCATAAATAATGGAGTTCACTTCTCAGCAATTAGCCACCCCTTAGTGGTATTTTCGTATGGTTTTTATGGTTGTATTCTCGTTATTTTGGTCTCATTTGATAGAATGGAAGATATATTACAGAAATAGATATGATTTTGATTGCTTTCATGACGAAAAGCGCCTTGAAATTGAGCTCAACCTAGGAGAAATGGTCCATTGCTTGGCTGTTTCAGAGTAAACAAATGACGTCATTGTCCATTCCAATATGCAGTCGTGAATGGGTTGACATTTATACAATTATTGCAATAATGAATAACAGTAAATCTTATATTTTTTGTGAATAAAAATTACAAATACGTAATTTATATAATAATAATAATAATAATAATAACGATAATAATATGTAATAATAATATGAATAATAACAATACGTATAATAATAATATGAATAATAGTATAATACAATAATAATAATAATAATAA